CCCCAAAACCCCAAAACCCCGCGTGGTTAATTTGGCGTAATAAATGACATTTGAAAAAAACAAAGAAATTCAAATTTGTTGCCTTTATCTTATCTTCAATTTGTTCAATTAAGAATATATTCTCGTTGATTTCAAATTTTAAAATATTAACTTTAAATATATATATATGAAGCAACTGCTTTTCACTACCACATTCCTAATAGTATTCGGTTTTACACAAGCTAGTGTAGCAAAGAACAGAATGAAGATGTATATGAAGCAACTAGCTTAGCAATAACAATAGTTAGGTTGCGAGACTTCCATGAATAGATTCAAGTCTGGTCCTCCAGATTACGAAAACATTATCAAGAACAGCAATACTTTTTGGAATGATACATCCTTCCCAGCTGATGCTACTTCAATTTAATGGACTGATACTCCATACACCAGAAATGGATTATACTACCACTCATCTGCTAAGTGGTCAAGATTAAACGATCTTTGTCCAAATTGCACAATGTTTGGTACTGGCGACTATTTAAATGACATTTCGCAAGGAGCTATAGGTGACTGTTACTTCATGGCCGGAGCAACAGCTGTTGCCGAAATCGATAATAGATTCAAGAAAATTTTTGTCAATCCTGAGATAAACTGGGCTGGACTCTATGCCTTCAATGTCTATGTGAGGGGTATTCCACACGTGATGGTTGTTGATGATGCAGTCCCTGCCGGATCCTAAGGCTTATCACCATCTTTCGCTGAAATTGGAAGTGATGGCTCTATTTGGGGACCACTTCTTGAAAAAGCTTGGGCTAAGTTTGCCAATAATTATGAGTTTATTGTAGGAGGAAGTCCAAATGAGGTTGTTTAGTTCCTTACAAACTCTCCCACTACTTCATTCAAAACAAACTAACTCAGTCTTGATGCTATATGGAAACTTTTGAGCTAATCTGATATTCAAAACAACATTATGAATGTTGTCACAAATACATCTGGAGATGCTGTATGTCCATTCAATCTTGCTTGCCAACATGTATATACCCTACTCGGAGTTGCAACTGTTTACAATGCTGATAAAACTCAGGTTACAAATTTATACAGAATAAGAAACCCATGGAAAGTCGATGCAGGCTTCAATGGTACATTTTCAGATAACGCTTCTGTTTGGAATACTGTAGGTTTCGATGGAAAGACATATGCACAACAAGCTGGCCATGTCATTGCTGATGACGGTATTTTCTGGACCACTCCTGAAGAGTTTGTTTAATCTTTCATTAATGTCTTCACAGGAGAATATAGAGATGAATTTGTAACTTCATGGTATGATAAGGTTGACGATTAGGTAGCTAATTCAACCAATCCATCAAAGTATGCCTTCACTATCACAGAATCTACTCCAATGACAATCAGAGTTGTCACTTACCCCGTTAGAATGTATCCAGTCTCATGTAAAAAAACTACTTCAATTCACAAAGTAGTTCTTAAGAACAGCAGAGGCAATTGGATCGATTACATTTAATATTTAGAAGTTTCAACATCATTCATGAATCTTATTGATAGGCCATTAGCTCCTGGAACATACACCATTGAATTTTATCCTTCATGGACTGAGGGAGATATCAAAGATTACGGTGTAGTTATCTAATCTCCAAGAGAAATTGCGATTACTGATGTCGATGGCAAGACTAGCAGAAAAACATCACACGATCTTACTCATTAGAATTTGAAACCATTTCAAAATGAAATATAATTAAATATATAAGTTCTCTATTTATATATCTCGATCTATTTCAAAGCTCTATATATTCATTAAGGGGTTTTGGGGTTTTGGGGTTTTGGGG